GAACTTCTCTAAGTCCCAGTTCCTGCACTTATAAGAAGTGTATAAAATAGTATGAGTTTCATAGTTATTGAAGGGATTAAGAAAACGCTGCATGATAAGCACTTTGTGTAGTACCAGGGACATGGAACAGGCTTAAAAAACTAGATCTTACTGGTTTCTTTACAGTTACCTTGGCAGGATCTGGTATGAGATCCATTATACAGACTGTTTTTATTCTTAGTGGCCTAAGCCAAAGCACTTTCTCTCTTTTAAGATTTTGTCCATTACATAGTGAACAATTTCCTAAGACAGCTAAACACTCATTTGCTTCCGCTCTGTCTTCCCTAATTAGAATGTTGTAAGAGTTGAAGCATGATTATTTAATTATGCACCAGATACAAAGTAAGTACTTTAAAAGTTTTTATCAAATGAATAAATCCCTAGAAAATGCTATAAAACATCTTTTCAAAATTTTTATCAAGATCAGTGATTCTTAAAAACATGGTCCTTGAATCTGCAGTACTGGCATCACTTAGGAGTTTGTACGAAGTGTGCAGTGTATCAGAGTCTATGAGGATGGGGACCAGGAATCTGCTCCCTGACAATCTATCCAGGCAAGTCTTCTGCTGGTTATCATTTGTGTACCTATGACCTAGGCAGACATTTCTCTTTAAAAGTCAATGTCAGTTTATAAACATCAAATACGTGTGTTGAACAACAGAAGCCAAACATAAAAGAGTGCATACTGAATTCTGTTCACATGTAGTTCTAAATTAGGCAAAATCCATACAAGGCAAAACCAACATAATATTGGCAACAAAATGATAGCTGCCTAAGGAGGATTAGGGCACAGATTCAAATGGAAAAAGGCACAAGGAAACTTTCTGAAGCATTGGAAGTTCCGTATATACACTGATGGGCTGTGGATTACATGGGTGTATAACTGTGGCAAATTTCACTGGGTCGTATACTTCATATCTGTGTATTTCCCTATCGATAAATAAAATACCCACAAAAAAATAAAATAGGTGTTTAGTCTAGCAGTTAACATACTTGTATCCCACATCCGAGTTCAATGCCCAGCTCCAACTCCTGCCTCTAACTCTCTGCTTCCTCCGTGCCTAGGGAGGGAACAGGGATGCTTCAAATGTTTGGGTTCCTGTCACTCATGGGGGACACTGCCACTGAATTCCTGGCTCCTAGCTGTAGTTCTGGCCCATGCTGGAACTGCTGCAGGCATTTCGGGGATGAGACAGTGGATGGGAGCTAAATCTCTCTCTCTATGCCGTCTTTGTCTCTCCCTCTCTCAAATACACAGAAATTAAAATAGTCAAAGTCAGTAATGCCATTTAAATTGCCTTCTGTTTAAGTCTTCTTAGCAAGTGATAGTTTTTTTTAGGTTTGTTTTTTAAATTTATTTATTATATTATTCCATGATACAGTTCCATAGGCTTTGGGTTCCCCTCCTCCTCACCCCCAACTGGACCCTTCTATTAATAACCCCCATATCATTACCATTGTATAGTGCTTAATAATCAGTCATAAGTCCACCATTCTGCTATTTAACTGTATCCTGACACTGTAAGTATGGACAATGGCAGAGTCTAGCATATGCTGGGCAAACTTTATAAAATGTTTTTCCTCTTTCACCTGGCTTACTCCCTGGCTCAGTCTTCTCTCAGTTCCACTCTCCTGTTCTGCTCTCCCTGATCTCACTTTATTATGGATGTCCATGGAAGCTTTGGAAGGCTACTGTGTACACGTGAACAGTTGGTTCATCTGAAAGGTCCCCAGCTGCAGTGATGTGTAGTATTGAAATCCACTTCATGCTCCACTCTGAAAGCCTCCCATGTGGAGCAGGGCTTTATCAGCCTGAAAGAACCGGTGTCTTTTGTAAATCACCAAAGGCATATCCGGCTTTCCTAGTCTTGCCTATTCTAGGCTGTTTCCACTTATGGCCATCTTCTTGGAAAGTAGCACAAAGGCACCATATGGGCTAGTGGCAGCCCTAATCTTGTATTTGCCCTTTTTATCTGCTACCTCAGTAGTAATTTCATATATAATTACGTGATTGTTTGGCTAATATTTGCTTCTCCTCCTAGACAATAGGCTCTATGGCAACAGAATTGTGCAGGTTTAGCTTATTATCAAGCCTCTTCAGCTCTTGAAATAGTGCTGGTATTCAGTGGGTACTCAGTAAATATGGATTAAATATGTAATATTTGTTAATGTTGGAAGAACATTAGGATTTTTGAAGGTAGGGATTATGTCTTATTTTCCTTTTTTCGGACCCCACTTCTGAATAACCACATAAGTGACATTGTTAAATTCTTCCTGATTGGGTTTAAAATGCTCAGAAAAAGCCATATGATGTTCTGTGCATTGAAAACCAGATCTGCAAGAATGTGACTATACATTGCATGTGTGATGATGAACAGCTGCTAGCTATGAAGTAGAACAGACAAATATGAGAAATAGACTTCAATTGAAATGGGTTCAACTAAAAAGGGATTTATTTAGCTTCTGAAACGCATTTCCTGCTATGAAGCTTAGAAGATAGTAGAATGCCAAGAAAGTTGTGAATTTTCTTTTCCTATAAAACTAACTGATCTTGGATCTACCTTGCATGATACATCAACCACATAGAGCCAAGATTTCTACTGCAAGATGCTGACACAGTAGATAGGTTTCTCAAAATGGAATTTTGTGGGGTCAGCATAATAGCTCAATTAGTTAATCCTCTGCTTGAAAGTGCCAGCATCCAAGATGGACAGGGACCCACATATCAACTGCTCTACTTCCAATCCAGCTTCCTGCTTATGGCCCTAAAACAGTAACAAAGGCTTGCTCCTTGACCAAATTTAAGTCAGGTTCCTCTGAGTCTTCTTAACTAGCTCTTATTCATGATTCCTATCAGCAGCTTATTTAGCAAGAATTCTAATTCAATTTAGACTTGTCTACCTGTTGTCACCTTGCCCAATCTTGAGCAAGAATTTAGTTTGGTCAGTTTAGCAAGAATTTGCCTACTTTTGATGGCTCTTCTTAGTAATTTTCCAACTACTTACATCCTCGACTTTGTTCTTTTTTCTTTTCTCTTCATTTTTGAAAAAAATGTTTGTTTGCTCTTTCATTTTAAATCTCACTTGTCTTTGTTGCATTTAGAGTCCAATTTTCCTTCCCTACAATTCTGACATCTTTCAAAATAGTCCTGTAGGAAGTCTTCATCACCACTTTAACAAATGTCAGAATAATTATTTGAATGTTAGTAATAACCTGCATAAAATAATTTCTACCTTTCATCCATAATTTATAAGGACATTTTCAAGAATCCCTGTTTTAACAAGCCTCTTTAAAAATATTTTTGCTTTGTTACAGATAGCATGGCTGCTGAATATCTTTCAGTATTTTTCCTCTCATTGGTCCTTTATTCAATGTGCAGCACTTTCTCAAATTTATGACTAAAATTTGACTCCCAACTTTCAACTCCTACTGGGCCCATACAGCAATCTGAAATGTGTTAGTTGGTCATCCTATACTTTAGGATTATCCTTCCCAAACATCCTGCCCAATGAAATACAGTATCTGCCTTGCCCAATAAAAAATGTCCCACCAAATTACATCTTACCTCCCCAGCAGCTGACTCATGTGGGACCTCTCTCCCTTACAGAGTGTTCCACAATCACTGTAATTATTAAGATCTGGATTGTTTCATCTTTCATATTTCCCCCAAATCTTTATTGTAAAGAAGTCTTACTCTGCCCTCACCTTCTTTTGTTTCATTAGCAACCAAGTGTGTTCTCCTAGTTCCAAAGGGAAGATTCATTTGCAACCTGCAGATAATGAAGCGGATTTTCTCACTGGCAAGGCATGTGCCAGAATTCGATGGACGAGGCACTCAAGACGGGTTATTCCTCATGTGATATAAGATCCAAGAGAAAAATGTATGTGGTATCAGCTGCTCAAAATGTTGGATTCATTCCCACCTCCATGCTTTTAGATGAAGACACTGAGGACCAGAAACAACAGTAGTCAAAACTGAATTCTAAAACAAAGAAGCAGGCTGTGCTTCATTTTTTGCCATCGTTGGCCATTTCCCACTGCTCAGATGTATGGCTTAAGGACCCAACTAACAAACCTGCAAGGCTCACCTATGATATTTTGCATCTGTCAAGAGTCCAGATGTGAGCAACACAGACCAAGTGTAACAGCTTTGTCGCCTTTTTTCCCCCCCGAAATTTCATTGTATTGTACCAAAAATAATTGTCGTTTGAGCCTCACAGGCCCACAGCCGGAGCTCTCCACCGTATTCACAGGCCTCGGCGTTTTCCACAGCATTGTGCTGTAACTTCTTGGAGAGCTAACACTGTATAATTTCAGGAAACTTCTACTGAAACCTTAGCCAATATTGGCCCCAACTGGGTGAGGTTAAAAATTCATTGCGATAAATATTCAACAATTTAGGGCGCGTCCCGAGAAGACGATTGGTGGCGCTTTGAAATCCATTCCTGGCCATGGAAACCCAGTAGCCAACTACCTGGTTCAGCAAACTAGACTTGGACAAGAGGAGGGGCCAGCAGGAGGAGGAAACCCAGAACCCAGCGCGAGAGGACGCCACGGCGCGTGCGCACCTCCCGGCGGGCACCTTCCATTCGACCGATGGGGGAAGCAAGTGCGAAGCGCTCTGCGGTTTGGAAATTTCCATCCTCCAGCAGAAATTACGTGGGAACAACCGCGTGAATTACGCGAAATCGTTATCTCCCAAGTTCCGGATCAAAGACGCTTGGCACACAGAGCCTCCAGCAAGAGGTGACTCGGCCAGTCGTCCCCCGCCCCCCGGGGCGCTGGTGGTCTGCTCCATTCCACAGACTTTCGCTCCCTTGCCGCGGGTCGGAGACCGAAGGATTGGGCCAATTGTGGCTGAAACGTCTTTGCACGGAGGAAGAGGGGGACGGAGCATCCCTCTGACCTCTGCCTCTCCGAGGTGGTGGTGGGGAAGGGAGACATACGAAATACTGCCCTCTGGAGCCCTCGGATCATCCGTCTCCGTGCAAACTGCCGGGGGTGGGGGCGCGGCGGGAAGAGGGCGAAACGGGAGTCGGGCAAGGGAAGGAGCCAGGAAGCCGCGCGGGAGGGCGCGCACGCGCGCGCCCCTTTTTCAGCAGTGTGGCGGGGTCGCACGCTCGCCCGCCTCGGCGGCTGGGCGCGATTTGCGACACTGGGGGGAGCGGCGGAGGTGGCGGCGGCAGCGGCAGCTTTGCGGCAAGCTCCGGACGGGCTTGCTTGACGGCGGTGTGGCGGAGGCCCCGCCCGAGGCGGCAGGAACCTGGGGGGAGGCGGCGGAATATGTCCGAGAGGGAAGTGTCGACAGCGCCGGCGGGAACAGACATGCCTGCGGCCAAGAAGCAGAAGCTGAGCAGCGACGAGAACAGCAACCCCGATCTCTCTGGAGACGAAAATGTGAGTGCAGCGGCGCCGAGCGATGGCGAGAGTCTGTGGAGTGAAAGTTTTTAGATTCTTTTAAAACTGGGTGCGTGGGGGGGAGGGGGCGGGGAGGGCACCGCGGCGGGGAAGGGAGCGGTGTCACCCGGTGTCCGGGGGGGAAAAGGCGGGCGTGTCGGCGGCTCGGAGCCTGACCCGGGGGGATGTGAGCTGGGCCGAGAGCGAGCGGAGCTGCGGCCGAGAGGGGCGTCCGCCACGGCCGGGGGTGCGGGCTCTGTCCTGCCCTCAGCGTGCGGTGGGCCTGGGGGAGAGTGCAGCTCCGGGATGCCGGCGGGTTAGAAGGTGCTGGAGAGTTGGCTGAGGTGGAAGCAGCGGGCACGGGCACGAACTGTTGGGAAGTTTGGGGACCGAGCCACTCCTGCACCCCCTGTAGAATCTTCAGGATGCCGAGGGTTCATCTCGGATAATGGGGGTGGAATGACTACAGCAGAGCGTTTGGTGTCCGCTCCTGCCCGGCGCGTGTCCAGCCAATGAAAACCTGAAAAACTCTTGAGCGTTTGAAGGCAGGGGAAAGTTTATCTCGCTTTTCCCTGCTTTAGGATTAAATGTTGAGTCGCACACACCCCATCCTTCAATTCCCCTTCCCGAATCCCGACCAAAGCATGCTTCATTGCCCAGTGTCATGACCACGGTTTTCACTCAAACGACGACAAAGTTTTTTTTTAACGGAGAGAGGAGAAAGTTTGTGAATGGTTAATTGGTTGATAATCATTGAAAGAAGGCTGTAAATTTTTATTTCTGCGGTTTTTTTTAAAGTTCTGTTGGCAGAGAGCTGGCAGGTAGGAGCTCACGCTGGATCCACATTGGGTTAAAATACCCACACTTAATGGGTTGCTTGACTTTCAGCAAAGCACTTGACCCGGCTGCCTCAGTTTCTTGTCTTGGGGATGATTTTTTTTTAAATCATTGTTTTAAATCTCATGTGTTTGTAAGGAATAAATGAGATAATACAGGTAGAGTGCTTGGAATAGTACCTTTGCTTTAACAAGTACTATGCAAGTGTTATTTATAATATTTTGTGATCAACCCGTATGTTTCCAATGGCTTTGGCACATACTTAGACTGTGAAAATCTCAAGTTGTTTTTGAAGGAGGGCAATTTCTGGAGACAAAGTAAAGGGATTCTAATTTTGCTTTTTGAAGAGTGTTAGGGGAAAATGCTGGTGTTGTTTTGTTGCATTCTAAAGCTCTTCAGCTCTAAATGGTTGGATTAGCCTTTGCTTCAGTGGCCAGCAAGGCAGTGTTTGTGCCTTGGACACTTTAATGAATTTTATGGCACTTTCTTGAGAGCTTGTTTGGAGGTTCTAGCAGGGGAGCGCAGCTACTCGTATACCCTTGACCGAAGACCGGTCCTCCTCTAGCGGGGATGGTCGTCCTCTTCGACCGAGCGCGCAGCTTCGGGAGGGACGCACATGGAGCGGTGAGGGAGGAAGGGGACACCCGCCTAGCCAGCCAGATCAGCCGAATCAACCCTGGCGATCAATGGGGTGACAGATGTCGCAGCCAGATCGCCCTCACATCCATTTTCTTAAAATCACATCTGTAAATGTATAAAATACAGTATCAAAGGTGACATTCCGTTTTCAAACTAAAATTATATGGTGTAAAATGTTTTCAAAACAAATTTTAGATGTAATAATGTTAGCATATTAAAGAATAGGTTCTGGTGGCAGTGGTGCCTGAACAAATTCTCAGTATTTGCAGTCAAATTAGTATGATTTCAAAATATCTCACATTGGTGAAAAGTCACAACAGTTAAGGACTGTGAAAATTAACATTCTGTTTTGTTATTTATTTAGATTCTCAGCCCCTCTGAATTCCACAGACTCATGATCTTAGAGGTTAAGGGAGTCAGTCAGTAAGAGAAGAGGTAGAGAATATTGTACAGAAATTGAATTGACAAAGAGCAGACAGCTCTCAAGGGAGGTGAATAATGACAGAAGACCAGAAATAGGTGGGTGGAGATCACAGTTTTGGAGTTGGCCTCAAGATAGCCTGAGCAGGTCCTATTGTTGAAATGAGTCACAGAATTCAAAGAACATTTTACTTTAAAGTTTATTGTGAAAATGTGTGGAAATGATGGTCTTACCCACTTTCCTGTAGTCCTTGAACCTTTGTGCCCTAATTAACTATGTAAAGATTGTCAAAAATATAATAAAAAAAATGGGGAAAAAGTTTATTGTGTACCTTAAATTAGAGACTGATGGAATTAAGATTCCTTATGAAGGACTAAACCATTGAAGCAAAATGGGGAAATCTGTTGGAGGGTGGGAGTTTGGGGGAGGAACCCCGGTCTAATATGGAAAAAGAATAAATAAATAAATACCTTGCCAAAAAAAAAAAAAACTTATTGTGCATGCCTGCCCTTTTCTCTAAGTTGTAAAGATCCTATTGACAGCAAAGTAGTTGGCTTTAGGCAGAAGCCTGAATGGGTTAAATTGAGAGAGCTAAGTCTGGAGAGTGTGTTTTTGCATAGATAGCTTGTGCCAAGATTGAGGGACAAATTAGTGGTAGCTCTCTATCTCTTTTAATGTTGGGTGAATAAAGATGGTAGTATCCTAGCTGTTGCATCTTATCCTTCTGGGCTGCCAGGGGGAGGTAGGATGAAAGCCAGTTTGTAAAACATTTGGCATATCTAGGTAAAATCAAAGTGTTACATTTCCATTTGCTTTTATCTAAATTCATCTTTGGAGGAGGCAGGCAAATGTCAGAAGTAAAAAATACGCAGTGTGTTCTGCTGTTGACAGTGTTTTGGGTGGTCATTTGATTCTGGTCAGTGTTCAGCTAAAATGTAAAGAAGCTGATGCAAGAGTTAAAAAAGCTAAGTGAACATGTGTTTAAAAAGTTATCTGACTCATGAGGGAACCGAGCAAATACTGGGAAATTGCAGAATATAGATTTGTGGAGTAAAAGAGTGTAGAGATGAATTGTAAATAGAGAAAAAGTTTCCACAGAGGAAAGGAAGGCATCTGAACATCTACTTTGGAGACAGAATTTGCCTGCCAGTTACCTATAATTAAAAAAAAAAAAGTAGAAACACAGAAACAGTAAAGAGGGCTGTCAACTGATAACTTGAAAGAGAAGGCATGGTTTTTTGTTGAGACACAGAATGGTTTTGTACGTTGGATTTACTTGTGAAAGTTTGAGAAAATAGAGAACCGAAAAGTGATTTCAGTCTAGGGACCAACTTCAAAATTCTCATGCTAACTTCCAGAGTTGCTGATTATGTTGCATTAAGAAGTATTTTTCATTTGGGGGCTGTCTGAAGCCCGGGGAGTGCTTAATGCTGTGTTGAATTTGTATGAATCAATACGATCTTTGGACTGGCTTTTGACACTCCAGTTCTAACATTCTGTAATATCAGAACACCAGCCTTGGGAAGCAATGATTTAAGATTAGGCCTTTAGGCAGTGCTTCCTAGATGTGTCCTGACTGATGTTAACAGACACTCCTTGACGCCACCCCCACCAACCCCAAAAAAGCCTCCTCTGGAAAGAATTTAGGAAGACTAGAATAAAGGGGACTGGAAAATGTAATCAGAGGAAGTCAAGAAATCCTCGTTGGAGATTAGAGGGCTCATCTGTTGGGTTGCAGATAGGGAAGAGATGAAAGAATTTTTAAAGATTTCCTGCAACTATTTCCATTTGTGCTGAGAGTCTCTGACATTCCAACATGTGAGTATTATCACTACTTTGGATCTGTGAAGCAGGTTTCATTTATAAATAAGGCAGAAGCAGTAGAGCTTTGAATAAAATTCTAAATGGTCTATTTTATAAATAAGTGGTTTGAATAAAAGAATTTTAAAAAGGAGAAAGCAACAGCTGAGTCCCCTGCTGTTAGGAAGACCTGTGGGTCAGTGGGATGTGGGGGCCTTGGCTGTGGGTTTGAATCCCTGTAGGCCTTTGGCAGCAGCCGGAGAAGGGGGAGGCACTCTCCAGCTCGCCCAGGTACCTGACTTTCTGCAGAGAGCCATGAAGATGAGCTGCTCAGGTGTGCTGAAGTGACTGACACGGACCAGTGACTTACTATTTAAAGGCACTAGTACTCTAACATTATTATTCTCATTTGCATTTTGTTTTCATTTTTGCTAAGATAAAATAGTAATGTATGACTGAGTTATTTTTTATTCTTATTTGGAAGCTGGAATAAATTTTTTCGTTTCTTTTAGAAATTACTTTTTTTTAGGTCAGTGAACATTGTCCAAGTACAAAATCATTTGCTGCAAATATGGAATTGCTATTTCATGTAGTCTTTCCTGATTTGTTGCTTCCAGGACGATGCCATCAGTATAGAAAGTGGCACAAACACTGAGCGCCCTGATACACCTACAAATACACCAAATGCACCTGGAAGGAAAAGTTGGGGAAAGGGAAAATGGAAGTCAAAAAAATGCAAATATTCTTTCAAATGTGTGAATAGTCTCAAGGTATGTGCAGTAGGATGGATCTTTTGGTTTGAACACAAGATTTCAAAATTGTATGTACAAGTAGCAAACTTTATTCTCCAGATACTCTAGGATATTTCAATTTATAGTAATTTGAAGAATTTTGTTTTCTGGTTGTTTCAGTTAACACATATAAAATCAAGTGTTCCAAGATGGTTTTGCTTTATTGATTGTATTCAAATGAGAGATGTAAGAAAATATTAAAACAGCCATTGCTGGCAGCACTGTTTTACAACAATTGTGACACATTTTGATATAAATTAGAACAGATGTCTGCGGTTTTTAAAAATTTAACTTCTTTTATTTGTATTGTTTTCAAGGAGATAACTACATACTTTAAAAACCTGGATATTCAGTATTTCGGGAAAATAAGACTTTGGGATTATCTCAGCAACTTCGTTAACACTATTTTCATTAATTCTGAAAAGAATTACTGATTTTAAGATGATGTATTTTTATGTACTTCTATAATTTGCATTTTATTTTTCCTGAAAAATAAATACATCTGATCTTAACATGTATGTGAATTAAAGCCTTTAACATATATATACGTATACTTTTAGATAAAAGTCTTGAGGGAGCCTAAGAAGCAACGGCCATATGGCAGACATTCAGTGCTCAGTATGTCAAATCTAATCCTCTTTAAGGGAAATTAATCTCGTCATTAAAAGGCATTATCTGTTGTATGTGCATGTTATTATTTACTTATACTAACATTTTAAGCATTATATTCGGAAGATTTTTTAACTGCCTCTTAAATGTTTACAAACTCTGAAGCTGTGGGTTTTCAAATTATAAAAAGTGAATGAAGTTGAAAAAAAAGTGTAATTACTGACTTTAGGTGAGCATAAAAATTTATGTTTGGTGTTCAGTGCCAGGAGTTTGACAAAACAGTGAACTGGCATTTTACCTTGTAGTGATAAAACCTATAGCCCAGAAGTCCCTGCCCCCGCAGACCTGGGGGCAGTGGTGGTTGGGTGATTGGATTCCTGCCACCCACATGGGGAGCCTGCACTGTGTTGTGACCCCTGTCTTCAGCCCCTGCCATTGTGAATGTTTGAGGATAAAGCAGCAGTTTGGAGCTCTTTCTCTGTGTCTCTGCCTCTCAAATAACACACATGAAAACCTTACAAATAACTGTGAATTTTGTCTCCCTCTCTCCATATCCATCTGCCTATCTGTCCTTCTTTCCTTCCCTCCTTCCTTCATGTCCTCCTGGAAGCTATGACTCTAGATTTCATTCCCTTCCTTGTGTCCACTCTTGAAGTATTCCTGTACATTTTCTGGACATATTTTTATTTTACAGCCCAGATTTAGGGTTTAAAATTATTTCCATAAGTTTCTTAGAAAGCAATGATTTAAATCGAGTTACATAATGCTTCACAAGAAAAACACTAAGCCTACTAAAATTGAGTGAATAGAGACTGTAGTGCTTCTTTAAGGCCACTTTTTAATTTTCTATTTCCAAAGAGAAAACCTTGTCCTCCTGACTCAGGAGGTTAAATGTGTTTACCAAAATTGTCCAGTTTTTTGGTTATTTATGGTTGGGTGTAAGAGAATAAAAGTCAAGCATCAAATTGTTCTCTCAAAGAAGTAGTTGTTACCTAACCTGTGATTTAAGACTGCTTGTTCTAAAACTTCATCATTCATGATAGTTCAAAGTATTTAAGTGTCAGCTGTCAGCTTATGCATGTATAATATATAAAGTAGATTGGAATTGGGAAAAGGGGCGGGATTAGTTTACTACCATTTTTTGGTGTCAGGGATATATTAATTTTTCTTATTTCATGGTTATTTTATAGGAAGATCATAACCAACCATTGTTTGGAGTTCAGTTTAACTGGCACAGTAAAGAAGGAGATCCATTAGTGTTCGCAACTGTGGGAAGCAACAGAGTGAGTTTTAAGGAGTCTGGCATTTGGCTTAATGATTGCTTCTCTGAATCACACTGATATAGAATGATTTTGAAGTACATTTTTGTGTAGTTTTGGTTTAACAGCATGATTCTATAATATGGGAATTAAGCTTTCAACAAATTATCAAAATAAAACTAATATGTCTTAAAAAGACATCTAGATTTTAAAGTATTATTCACAATGTATAAAACAGAAGATATATATATATGTATAATACAACTTGTCCTCATCTCAAGGAATTTTTATTGTGAATTTAATTAAGGAATAATAAATCCTAATTATTTTTGAGTTTTAAATTTTTATCATTTTGAAGAGTAGGTGCAGTTATATGGTTAAAATGAATGTTTAAAAAACTGTTAGTAATGATATTTAACACGTTCCAGATATGTAAAACATTAAGCTTAACAAATGCTTCCTAAAGTTTAAAGGGGCTAATTTAAAGAACTAGTTTCTTTGCTGTGTTTAAGATAAAACTAAAGTATGTGTATAAACTAAGCAAGCTGTCTCTCTACTTAAGATGCAATTGACTATATCTGTGTTTTCATTAGGTTACCTTGTATGAATGTCACTCACAAGGAGAAATCCGGTTGTTGCAATCTTATGTGGATGCTGATGTATCCTTTCCTGGAATGTTAGTGTTTTTGCCAGAGACATATTTTCAATAAATACATCAAAACTTTTCAAAATTAATTTAACCTAACCTAAATTATATCCTTTCTTAACTTGATGAATGTTAGACTTTTCTCTGTTACCATCATCAGAATAATTCTGGTATCTAGTTTTCTTGATCGTCAAAATTCGTTGTAGGATAACTGAGAGGGTTAAATTCAGACAGCTACAGATAGGAACATTGGACATCCAAGAACAGAAAATGTTTTAGTGACTAGCTAAAACTTGTGGTTTTTATTTGGGCTGAAACATTACCATTTCATTGTAATTGTAATGATGAGCTTGGGTTGACAGGAAGCTATTGCTGGCAGTCATTCCAAGTCTAGAGGAGAGATGAGAAATAAATGTTCTGGTTAGAAACTAAGACAAGACAAGGGTTCTTAAAATGAAAACTGTAAAAAAAAGCTACAGGGGTAGAGTATTAAAGCTAGGTGATGGGACAGTTCTTTCAGATCCATTTGATAAACTGAGGGCCTAAGAAAAGCAGAAGCATTTAGCTTCTTCTGACCTGTTACCTTTTTTTTTTTTTTTAATTTAGAAAAGCATAGACAGCACACAGCAGAGTAAAAATATTATACAATACTGTGGTATATATTTTAATTTTATAATAAAAGTATTGTTAAGTATCATAAATAAAATATTGCTAAAATGCCCATTGTTTCCATATTGTTTGGGGCAATGTAGTGATAGAGTTTTGAAACCACTAATACAGTGAAGTGGAGGGACTGTGATTTTGTTTCATCTTTGAGTGTTGATTTTAGGCCTGTAATCACAATTTAGTAAATTTAAAGATCAATGAGAGCTTTTCTGTGAAAAAAACTGTAACAGATCTTCAAACATTTCCATGTGCTGTGATTGCTACCATGTGTTTTGTTTTGTTTTGTTTTTTAAAGAAGTTATATTTCTTAACTGTGATGTTTCTTAGGCCGATGAAAACTTTTATACATGTGCGTGGACCTATGATAGTAATACAAGTCATCCTTTGCTGGCTGTTGCTGGATCTAGAGGCATAATCAGAATAATTAATCCTATAACAATGCAGTGTATAAAGGTGGGTTTTCTGCTTCTTTTGAAGACATATCATGAAAACATGTCATTGTATTTCAGATTAATGAAATCAGCGATGGTAAAATTTCTGACTTCTTTTTTGCTTGTTAAATTTTTAAAAATCTTTTTGAGACTTTTGTCATTTGAGTAATGAATAGGGCAATGTTAATATTTGTAATGTTTCCTTTTGAAATCATTTCCCTATTCTGGTCTGCCTTGCTATGAGAGGCTCTAAGTGAACAGTGGTGGAGAGTCCATTTTCCCAGACATTCAAAATGGGGCATGGAGGAGCAAGCACCTAGCAGTGAACTGAAAGGTGAACCCTAGGAAGCTGATCTGTGAACCAGGTTTTAAAAACTCACTTTACTCATGTATTTTTTAATATTGGGGACATATTCAATCACGTGAGGATCTTTTCATCACCACCCACACTGCCCTCCTGTTACTTGATCCGGTCAGAATATTTATAGGCATGCCTTGAGGGACCTCCTTTCCCTTCAGCTTTGATGGGTGATTTTAACCTGCAGCAAAGACTGAGAACCCTTACTTTGAGCAAAACAAGTACTTACTTCATTCTTTTGTGATCAATGAAACAATTTATCAATTTTGAGGTGTGAAATTTGAAATGTTTTAAATTTATTATAGCATTATGTTGGCCATGGAAATGCTATAAATGAGCTGAAATTCCATCCAAGAGATCCAAATCTTCTCTTATCAGTAAGTAAAGGTAAGTGCAGCAAATGCTTCTTTAGCTCTCTTTGTTTGGGGATCTGTATATATATGTGTGTATGTATATATGTGTGTGTGTGTGTGTATGTATGTATGTTAAGGAATAAAAACACCAAATTGTTTAAACAGGAAAAAATTTTGAATTTTTTTATAATAAATTTTAGTAGCAAATTCTCATGTACTTCTAAATCAAGAATTGAGGACAAGAACCATGAAATACATTTAGGTTTACCAGATGTTAAAATAACTGGTACTGAGGATTACCCATCTTTATTTACCATATTGTATTGTGACAGTTCTAGAACTTTACTTTCAATTGAGTGATTATATTGTTTCATTGGTTTTAAATGGCCTATTGCCAAATGAATTACATTTTGAAGTTTTAAAGACTTCGTTACGCAAATTATATTACTAGTTACCATCATTCTCCATTCATGTGTCCATGAAGTACTGCATTATTCTTTATGCCTATTGGCATTGTGAACTTACTCTGCCTTAGACATGTCTTTATTATTTCTTAATTCTCCGAAATGAGTTAGGTGCTTATTTTTATATTCAATTCTTGAGTCTCTTTTTCTACTTACATTTCTACTAAAGTCTAGTCAAGTTTATCCTTTTCTTGGGCTTGCCATGCCATAATGCATTCTGCAATCTAGTAAAATTAAAAGTACATCTTTATATCACAGCTCATGAAAATGTTAGAATGTTATTTTTCTGTAACTGCCAAAACTTAAATTTTGAAATCACCACCTCTAGAAAGTGCTCGTTACTTATTCTAGTAATAAATAATGCTTAATATCAATACTTTTGCTTAGACATTCTCACACTATAGGCCATAATGCCTCACTTGACACAGGTATTTTGTTGTTGTTTAAGATTATGTATTTATTTGTATATGTATGTATTCAGTTGAATGAATACATTCAATTGAATGAATGAATGAGGAGAGACAGGAATCTTCTGTTTGCTGGTTTACTCCCTCGATGGTCACAACAGCCTGGTTCCAATATCAGGAAACAGGAACTCCATCCTGGTCTGCCGTGTGGATGGCTGAGGCCCAAGTCCTTAGACACCATGTGATGCCTTCCAGGTGCATTTACCAGGAAGCTGGATCAGAAATGGAGCGCTAGGTTTCAAGCCATCAGTCCAACATGAGATAAGTGGTAGCTTAATTCACTGTGCCACAAAATTGGCCTCACTAACACAGCCTTTAGCCTTGGGGTCTTCTCCTACATGTAAAAGCATTTTTTAAATCAAACAACTTCAGAATGAAAGCAATTGTGCTGTTCAAATGATAGCGTCAAGAAAGGAAGAGGATAATATCCTGGAAAAATATGTCATTTCTGTAATTAGGGAACTTTGAAAAACAATACAACTAAAAATACTCAGAAATTCTTAATAGTCCTTCAGTGAACATATACAAATGTTCATCATTAGTCCTTAGAAAAATGTAATCAAAACTGTAGTGAGGGGCCCGGCGCGGTGGCGCAGTGGATAAGGTCCTCACCTTGAACACCCGGGATCCCATATGGGCACTGGTTCTAATCCTGGCAGCCCCGCTTTCCATCCAGCTCTCTGCCTGTGGCCCAGGAAAACAGTCGAGGACGGCCCAAAGTTTTGGGACCCTGCACCCGCGTGGGAGACCCGGAAGAGGCTCCTGGCTTCGGATCGGCATAGCATCAGCCATTGCGCTCACTTGGGGAGTGAATCATTGGACGGAAGATCTTCTCTCTGTCTCTCCTCTCTGTATATCCGCCTTTCCAATAAAAAAAAATAAATCTTTAAAAAAAAAACTGTAGTGAGATCCTTCACGTCTACTTAAGATTGTTATAAAAATATGAAACAGTAAGAAATGTTGGGGCCCAGCACAATAGCCTAGTGGCTAAAACCTCATCTTGCGTCCACCGGATCCCATACGGGTGTCAGTTCATTTTCCGGCTGTTCTATTTCCCATCGAGCTCCCTGCTTGTGGCCTTGGAAAGCAGTTGAGGATAGTTCAAATCCTTGGGACCCTGCACCTGTGTGGAAGACCTGAAAGAGGCTCCTGGCTCCTGGCTCCTGGCTCCTGGCTCCTGGCTTCAGATCAGCTCATCGGTGACCATTGCAACCACTTAGGGAGTGATCCAGCAGAAGGATGATCTTTCTATATCTCTTCTGTGTGTATCTGCCTTTCCAACAAAATAAATAAACAAATAAATATTGATTGGAATGTTGATATCAGAATACCTACAAACCTTGCTAGTGGAAATGTAAAATATAACTAACTTGGAAAAATTCTTAGAATCCCTGAAAATATTATACATAGAGTTCTCAGTCCTAGGAATGTATCTCTGATCTCATAGAGAAATGAAAGCATGTCTTCACAAAAATTTGTACACATTGAGATCAAGGAATCTTTGTATGGCAATGTTCATTTCTTCTGTTTAGAATATATTTTAAATATATATATGTACACACATTCTTGTGGATGTTATGGAATGTTAATACTACATACAGTTTGGACACAGTTACAGTCTTAAAAATCAAATATCACTCAGTGTAACATTTCTTTTGTTTATGGGTGTTTACTAATGTTTAGTAGAAGAATCTATGTAGCTTTAAATCATGCTGTAGTTTACTGTAGAAATCTTATGAATCTGTTTGATCCCCTTCTCTGTGTAAATGTGAGTGTGGTGAAAGTAAAGGGCAGTATCTTAGGGAATAGCAAAATAGAAAATTATTTGTCAAATCCATAGGTATTTATTTTTCATCTCAGAAGCTTATCTGCAGCAATTTTAGATATTGTTTAATGAAAATTACTTGAGGTGATTGATTTAAACTATTTAAGACTACATAAATATTAATGCTACATTTCTTATAAGAATTTTAACACATTTTATATGAAATCCATTCCTAGTCCTTTCTATACAGACGTTTTTCTTAAATACATTTTACGGAAAATTATTCTCTTTTTAAGATTTTTTTTAAAGGTTTATTTTGTTTTTATTGGAAAGTCAGACATACAGAGAAGAAGAACTTCATCCGTTAATTCACTCCCAAAGCGGCCACAGTGGCTTGAGCTGAACTGATCAGGAGCCAGGCACTCTTCTGGGTCTTCCATGTGGGTACAGGGTCCCAAGGCTTTGGGCTGTCCTCAACTGCTTTCCCAGACCACAATCAGGGAGCTGGATGGGAAGCAGAGCTCCCGGGATTAGAACCAGTGTCCTTATGAGATCCCAGTGTATACAAGGCAGTGACTTTAGCCACTAGGATACTGTGCCGGGCCCTAAAAATTTTTTAAGGTGTAATTAAAGAAAAAGAGAGTAGTCTTCCATTTACTGGCTCACCTCTCAGATGGCTCAACAGCCATGCCTGGGCCAGACTGAAACCACAAGCTAGGAGCTTCTTGCAGGTCTTCCATGTGGGGACAGGGGCTCAAGGACTTTGGTCATCTGCAGCTGCTTTCCCAGGTACATTGGCCATCCTCTATAACTTTCCCATGTGCTGGATCAGAAGTAGAGCAGCTGAGATGCAAATAGGGCCCATATATAAAACCAGGATTGCAAGTGACAGCTTTTCCTGTTACACCACAACACAAGCTCCATATAAAACTTTTAATTTCCGATTTTTACTACTTTGAGGACATATTGAAAGTTCACAATAATTTGTGATAGAATTTCATCCTAATATTTTGGTACTTTTATCGTAGATCATGCTTTACGATTATGGAATATCCAAACGGACACTCTTGTCGCAATATTTGGAGGCGTAGAAGGGCACAGAGATGAAGTTCTAAGTGCTGTAAGTTAAGGCTCATGGAAATGAAGTTCAGACTTATACAGAGCTGTGAATAATCACTGTGGAAGTCTTTTCTTACAGAGAAGTGTATTTCTTTCACAGGGACTGCCAGACAGACATTTTACTGACATTTTATATACAGGATTTTAGTTTTACAGGTGAAGGAGTAAAACAGATAAAGGCTTGATTTTGCTTTTGTTTATTGTGCTCATCCTGTTTTCACCTCTTCTGTTTACATGGCCTAGTATTACACAAGACTGGCAGTTGATTAAAGACACTAATACGATACAAATGTTTTTAGTTGCATTCCAGACTTTGATATTTTGACTTGACTTGTTTTAGCTCATTTGATTTCTTTTTTTTTTTTAAATTTTACTTATTTGTTTAAAAGGCAGAATTAGAGAAAGAGAAATAGCTTCATCCTGCTGGTTCATTCCCCAGATGGCTTGGCCAGGCTGAAGCCAAGGGCTAGGTGTTCCATCTGGGACTCCATGTGCGTATAGCACCCCTCCTCTGCTGCTTCTCCAGACTGTTAGCAGAGAGCTGAATCCAGAGCGGAACAGCCAGCATTGCAGGTTGAAGTTTCACCGGCTTAGCTTCATGCAGGCCCTTAAATCAGAGGTACTAGAATATTCCTCTGAGTGGAGTTTGCATATTATCTCTTAGGCTCCTGTGAAACAAAAATGCATATGATTACTTTCAATGTTGGAGTAGTGCAAGATAAATTGAAATAAGAACAGGAAATAGTATCTCTTCTCTGTAATAAGATTGTTAAAATAGACAACCTATGAGATACCTATTAACAATTAGTACAAGGCAAATGAAAAAGTTAAAATATGTTTGCTTTTTAGGTTTGTTTTTCATTTTAAAAATGAGCTGTAGAACCAGTATTAACGTTGAAATGTTTTTACCTAGAGGTACCAGATACATAAAAGTACACAGATATTAGTTTCATTGCTTGATTAGGATTATTAGAAAAGTAATATTACAGTTTGTCTCTTTGTGTCCTAGAATAATTGTTTTACCAAAGTGTTCACTATGTACTTTAAGATCAATCAGAAGTATGTGAATGTAACTGAATAAGTCAAAGAATTTTACTTTCTTGCCATCCATATTAAAAAAAAAAAAAAACCTCAAACTTAGATGGTGACAAACCAGTTAAAACGTGAAATCTGTTCAGTAGTAAACTCTTCGGTTGCTTTTCTTTTCTACTTTGAGGAGCAAAGAGTTTGCCCCCAACATGTTTACAGTAGCCAAAACTGGGCCAGGCTGAAGCTAGGGACAAAGCTCAGGGCAGACCTCCCTTGTGGGCGGTAGCTTCCCAAGTGCTTGAGCCATTTGCCACCTGCTGCCTCCCTGGGTGACATTGAATAGGGCCTCAAGAGCAGAGCTGAGACAACCCAGGCATCTGGGGGATATGAGCATCCCGAGTGGCATGTTAACGCTAGGCCAAATGTCCACCCCAACTCTGATTTATGGCCTACATGGATGAAGCCCAAAATATTGTTAATATTGTGATTTGAAGTACAATTTTCACTAGATAACAGGTGAAAATTGGCTATACATAATTTGGGACTATCATTTATATACTTAAACTTTTTCTGTTTTACATATAGGATTATGATCTTTTGGGTGAAAAAATAATGTCCTGTGGTATGGATCACTCTCTTAAACTTTGGAGGATCAATTCAAAGAGAATGATGAATGCAATTAAAGAATCTTATGATTATAATCCAAATAAAACTAACAGGTAACAGTTGTGATATTTAAAACAATTTGCCGTGTGGTACTGTTCATAGATGTGATTCATTTTTTTCCCAAAATTGTTAGAAAAACTTGTGGGAAAACAAAAAAATTAAGATGAATTTTTCCAGTAACTTTCTAAAGCTCAGTTATATAAGTTCCAGTATTGAATTTAGATATCTCCTTTTTAGTAACTTAATTTTTTTTTCTTTTAAATGATTGTTTTTTTAGTTTATTTGAGAGGCAGAAAGAGTGTAACAGATAGCCTTCGTCTTTTGGGTCAACCTCCAGTGGCCACAGGCAAGGCTGGATTGGGGTCAGAGCCAGGAGCCAACAGTGCAATCCACATCTCCCACCTGAGTGGCAGGAACTCAGTTACTTCAGCCGTCAGCACTGCCTGAGAGCTGCACTGTTAGGAGGTCGGAGTCAGTGTCAGTCAGGTGTTAAACGCAGGCAATTGCTGCATGTGGCGGACATCTTAACTGCTAGGCTAAACGCTGGTCCCCTAGTAAATTTAAGGTATAATTTACATGCCATAAAATTTGCCTGTTCTAAATGGGAGCTGAGTCCCCTTTAAAGTTTGTTTTTATCTTAATTAGCACATTTTACTTTATTAAAGTATGTGTGTATTTAGCCTTTTAAGTTATACATGTAGACAATTAAAGCAATTTACTATAGAATACAGAAAATAAGGAATATGTTAGGAAAGTCTAGTTCAAAGTAGTAAACTAATTTTTTTCAATGGGATTCTTAGCTTCATTATAATATACTTTCCTTTAAATGAGATTAATTTGGTGTAGAAAATTCAAATACAGGATCATTTCTGTATGGTACTATGAGATGAAATTTTTCAGCTTTTTAAAGATTTTTTTGAAATGCTTCAGTTCTTAATACACTAAATGTCTTCAGAATTGTACCAGGCTGCCATTAACTCGGACTATGAAAATCACTTACGTACATATGTTATGATTAATTTATTTTCTGGCTATCATGCCAGATTACTAATTGTTAGACGTGTAAGTATCGGCAATACTTCAATTCACTAACATTCATCAAAGCTCAGTGGTATCTTAAGAATTAGTACAGCTTTCAGATTTCTAGTTTAAAATGCTAGGGACTAGTGAAAAATAAATTGATATTTTTAAGTCTTTTTGTCTATGGAATAAATACAAATGAATGGCTTCCAGAAAATAATGGACTCTTCTTTTTGAGATTTTAGCTATAAGACTGTATTATGTACTTGGCCAAAATATGATTAACATAATTAGAGCACAGTTAATAGCTTAGAACATTAATAAAATTTTAATATTTTACTAAATAAAAGATTCCTAAATTGGAAATGGAAGAATTATTTCTGATGATACATATGAAGGAAAAGGTAAAGAGAAAGGACATGTGAATTGCCTACAATAGCTAATTCGTGGTACACCCTGTTGTACAGTTAGTACACTGTAAAAACTGAATCACTCACTACATTAGGAACGTTAGGTGTGCTGATAACTAAATAGTTGGTAGCGGCTTGTCTTGTTTATTGTATTCATACTAATACTTCTCAGATTACTTACTTATAGTTACTTGAGAGACAAGACAGACAGGAAGCTCTTTTATCTGCTTGTTCATTCCCAAAATGCCTGTAACAGCAAGGGCTGGGCTTGGCTGAAACCAGCAGTGTGTAACTCATGTAGTTAACAGCGACCTAAGTATGTGGGCTGTCGCCTGCTGCCTCCATGGGTACACGCTGGCAAGAAGCTGAAATTGGACTTAGAACCAGAATTCAAAGCCAGGCACATCAGTAAAGAATGTGTGCTTCCCAAAGGGCATGTTAATTATTGTGCCAGATACTCCTCCTACCCCTGACACACACAGATGCACACACATAATTACACTACAATTAAAAAAAATGGCTCTCCATATCCTCACTTTCTTAATATAAAAATAAATGGAGAGGTCTTTAGCAATATTGAACGTTTTTTGTTCCTAGAGAATTGATTGTTTCAAAATACCCTAGGTATACTGACTTAACGAATCATTATTTCTTAATTTTAAATGGTTAAGTAGGTAGTTCAGCATGTTTTCTATGAGAAACTTTATTTTCTGCTGTTAAGTCTCTTGTTGGCTAGGACAGCAAGAATTAAATGAGTAATTAATTGGTTGTTATGAATACTAACAGACAGGAAGGTGCATGTTTTCTGGATCATAGGACATCAAATAATATTGAAAGCCGATAATGGAAGGAAACACAGAAAAGAAAGACTGTGGTAACATATAAGTTACTCAGTTATCTGGGGCCAGAGGAATTAACAGTGATCATTTGTTTTTCAAAGTTTTATTAATCCAAGCATGAAGGATAGTATGACTCTAGTGTATATTTTTTCTTTTAACTCTTTACATTTTCATCCTTTCTTTAGGCCTTTTATTTCACAGAAAATCCACTTTCCTGACTTTTCTACCAGAGACATACATAGGAATTACGTTGACTGCGTGAGATGGTTGGGTGATTTGATACTTTCCAAGGTATGGTAACTTTGGTTAAGTTGCACTTCCATTTCTTGTACATATTCAAACTTTGCAAGAAATATAGTTTCCTACATAGTTGTTAAAATGAATGGTAGGTAGGAAATTATCCTTTTTTAAGCCTCATTTTCACAGACTTGGGAATTTGTTTTAGATATAAACTATCCCAGTGAGTTAAAAAGTCTGTTTCTAGTAAGCTGTTCTCTGATTTTCAGTATTATTGCTAAATAGTAAAACAGGTATTTTATTTTTATGTTTTCATTCATCACAGCAAAATTTTATTTAAAAAAAAAAAAAGAGAGAGTCTGGCAGTTATTGGCCAGGCCCTGCTGTGGACTGTTTATGAAGATAGATTTGTGCAGTTGGCTCTTTACATTCATGGGTTCCATATCCAAAGATTGAAAGTTGGATGATTTGGAAGAAAGTTGTAACTTTCAGAATGAATGTTTCAGAAAATTTAATTCTTTTATGTTCTTTGCTGATAAATTTCTTGTCCTCATGTATGGACTTAGATTGTAAATATAATAAATGTTCTAAAGATCTGTCAATTCTGAAATGTTAATAGAGAAAAAAATCTTTGCTTTTAAGTTTTTATATTTCAGTTCTATAATCAATATGTTCTTTTCTCATTTCTGTTTTAGTCTTGTGAAAATGCCATTGTATGCTGGAAACCTGGCAAAATGGAAGATGATATAGATAAAATTAAACCTAGTGAGTCTAATGTGACTATTCTTGGGCGATTTGATTACAGCCAGTGTGACATTTGGTACATGAGGTTTTCTATGGATTTCTGGCAAAAGGTAGCAACATTATTACATTTTGAAATTATTTTCTGTTGTTTCTGTTCTGTTATTTTCATGTTCTTCTAACAGTATAGATTGATTGTTTTTTTGTATTGGTTATTTTGCCCTGTGTCATTTTATCTTTGTGGCTTTGCACATCCTCAAGTACATACATAAATGAAATTGGCAGTGAAAAACCAGTGGGGGAAATTGGATAACACCTGCTCATAAGATTTTAATATTTAGTATTGAGAGTATTAATAATCTTCTCAAGTAGCTTTTCTCTGTAAAAACTCTAGAGAAAGATGAGCATCAAAGACAGAAGTAAAATATCAGTGACCTAAAATTTTAAAGAAATGAGTCAAAGCTTCATGATAACATTAGCTGGATGTTTATTTTCTCTATAAAAGCTTTGGGAAAGCTTTCCATGGTGATTGTTGCAGTTCTCTAAGGCAAAAGAGTGAAATGATTAACAGTGTAAATTTAAAAGTCCTTCACAAATTTGCGAAGTGCCTTCTGATTTCTGAAGACACTGATGTCTGTCAACTGCTCTTACCCATATTTACAATTTAGGAATAGCAGATCAAGGGAAGGGCACAGTCAAGCTGGAACTGAGGTTTTTCTGAAATAAGAAAGATGGCTTAAGATTGATTAGTGCTTTAGAGCATTGAGATTATATTAATTTTTGTTTTTAAAATATGTTTATACAGATGCTTGCATTGGGCAATCAGGTTGGCAAACTTTATGTTTGGGACTTAGAAGTAGAAGATCCTCATAAAGCCAAGTAAGTATTTGGAAATTTCTGTACAGAAATTCTGTCCTTACCCCAAGTTTAATGCTCTTATACAGGGTGAATAAATGATACTTGTAATTCCATCTTTAAATAATTGTTAAGATTCACCAGTCTCAAGATTACTTATTTTTCACTCCAATACTTTTCCTTGGATACTTTGGCAATTAGTTATTTCTTTCTGTTTAAGAATTATGTATATTTCCAATATGCCTGATATAATTTCAAATATTACTAAGCTTTTATTAAATTTTAGGTTGACTTCCTTCTGATTTATGATTTATTTTTATTTATTTGAAGGGCAGAATAAAGATGGAGGGGAAGAGCCAGAGGAGGTCTTCATTTGCTGTTTCATTCCCCAAGCAGCCACAATGAGTAGGGCTGAGCCAGGCCAAAGCCCGGGTCTCTCACATGGGTCCAGGAGCCCAAGCACTTGGGCCATAGTTTTCTGCTTTCCCAGGCATGTTAATAAGGATCTGGATTAGAAATGGAGTAACTGGGACTTAAACCAGAGTCCATATGGGATGTCAGTGCCACAGGCTGCAGCTTAATCCATTTTACAGAAGGGTGGCCTCCTCATGCACTTTTTATATGGCTTTGGACATCTGCATATTTTCTCATTCACTGGCTTAGGGTGGATATTAACAACATTATATATGAATTTAACTTGTTATACTTTTTTTTCCCCTAGATGTACAACACTGACTCATCATAAATGTGGTGCTGCTATTCGACAAACCAGTTTTAGCAGGGATAGCAGTATTCTTATAGCTGTTTGTGATGATGCCAGTATTTGGCGCTGGGATCGACTTCGATGAAATTCTTTCCTAATCAAAATTAGATTGTGTTTGCCTTTGTAAACTAGAATTAATGTATCTTGCTAGTAAGGGCACATAGAGCATTTAGAGTTGTATTTCAGCATTCAATCAGGCTGAGCTGAATGTAGTGATGTTTACATTGTTTACATTCTTTGTACTGTCTTCCTGCTCAGACTCTACTGCTTTTAATAAAAAATTTATTTTTGTAAAGCTGTGTGTTATTTTAGTTATTTCCATTGTGATGAAAAGAAAGTGGTACACAAATTAGGCCTTATCTTTTTGCAGTGATCATCTTTTGTAGTTTATTTAACTGGAGAAAGCCATAGAAAGCAGATTTACTGTAAGCCTCAGAACTAGCCTGAGGTGAGGACATGGCTTAAATGTAGTGGGCCAAAGAATGAAGAAAATAACGAATATGGATTTGGAAGAGCTCAAAGGACCCATTTTAAAAGGCATGTGTGTTGCAAAATAGAATGAATTTTATTCTTTTTCAAAGATTTGTTTATTTGAGAAGTAGAATGACAGAGACAAAGGGAGAAATAGAAATTCAGTCAAAGTGTTCACTTTCCAAGTGACCTCAGCAGCCAAGTCTGGAAAGGTCAGGATGAACCCAGAAGCCAGGAAGTACAGCTAAAACATTTGGCACAGCAGTTCAGTTGTTGCTTAGGACACCACATCCCAGTGTCCCTTAGTTTGAGGCTTGGATCTGCTTCCAATTTAAGCTTGTTGCTAATGTGCATTCTGGGAGGCGGCAGTAGTGATTCAAATGCTTGAATTTCTGCCCCCAGTGTGGGAGACCCACATTGAATTTCAGGCCATTGGATTCCATATGCCCTGCCCTGGGGTTACATGCATTTTGGGAGTAAACAAATACAATCTTTCTGGTATTTCAATGAATTAATTGAAATAGTAAAAATCACAAAATGTTAATTTTTGTAAATAAAGCAGTTAAAAAATTGAGACTCAGAAGCTTTAATTAATCTCCCTGAATCTTGATACAGTATCAAGTTTATTATAAATAACTGAGTTCTGATGGAGACCTTACAGACCAGTTATCACTCTTGATCTTAGTCAAAAGGCCGAGAAGCAATTATGACTCATCATCTTAAGGCTTTATTTCTGACTTATGTCAAATGCTGAGAATAACTTTTCCTGTTGGAAACTGATGATGGTAACTGTATGGAAAATAGTTTTGGGTCCCAGAACCCATAGCCTGTTGGCTAAAGTTCTCGCCTTGCATGTGCCGGGATCCCATATGGGTGCTGGTTCTAATTCCGGCAGCTCCACTTCCCATGCAGCTTCCTGCTTGTGTCCAGGGAAAGTAGTCGAGGACAGCCCAAAGCCTTGGGACCCTGCATCTGCATGGCAGACCTGAAAGAAGCTCCTAGCTCCTGGCTTTGGATCGGCTCAGCTCCAAGCGTTGCAGTCACTTGGGGAGTGAATAGCTCCTGGCTTCAGACTGGCACAGCTCTGGCTGAAGCAGGTTCTTAGGGAGTGAATCAACTGTTGCAAGATCTTCCTCTCTGTCTCTTCCCCTCTGTATATATATCTGACTTTCCAATAAAAAATTTAAAATATTTTTTTAAAAAGGAAAAATTTGGGTTTCAAGAAATTATAAGTAGGATTTCTAGGGAAAAAAATCCACCCAATGAGTGAAAAAAGACTATTAGTCAATGAGAATTCAAATTGCTGGTTACCTGTGAAAAGAAAAGGCCACTGCAATAATTGAGTTTTTCAAGTTTTGAGAAGGTGTCTTCTAACCAGGATACCAAAACAATCAGAAGGCCAGGACTGTACATGCAATATGTGGAGTAATAGAAGTTCAAAGTGGCTATTTGGAAGATCATAAGAATGTTAAGGATGGGCATGAGATAGTAGAATTGAGTACTACAAAAAATGGATTAGCCTAAAAGAGCTGTCCAACTCAGTTGATTGAATGTACTTCTCTGTGCTTGACCAACGGTTCTCTGTGAGCATAAACTTGGTGTCCAATGAGCCAATTCAATTTAATTGTTTAAATTCAAATCTGACACTACCCAAAGGTAGCTTAAAACCCCAAAGATTCAGAATTGGATCATATTAAGATGCCAAGCCCAAGTCAGCCTCTTGTGTATCTAACCTCCTTTAAGCTCAGCTTCGCTACTTTGCTAGAATGATTCACAGAACTAGCCTGTTATTTCTGATTTGTTATATATGAAGAATAGGAAAATAGGGAGAAAGAGATCTATCTGCTGGTTCATTGCCCCAAATGGTCGCAACAGCCAGGACTGGCCCAACCAGGAACCAGGAACTTCTCTGAGTCTCCTAAGCGGGTGTTGACATTCCAAGAGCTTAAGCCATCTGCTGCTTTCCCGGGCACAGAAGCATTAAGCCTGATGAGAAGTGGAGCTGCAGGACTTGAGCCAGTACTCATACAGGACGCTGACAATGCAAGCTGTGGCTTAACCAGTTACACTGTGACACTGACTTGTGCGAAACTTTCTAAAGGCTGAAAAATACAAGTACCATGTTCTAAGATCTTTGATATCTCAAACCTACAGATGAAGAGTCCTTTTGCTATGCACTCCTTAACAGGATTGCTGGAGTGTATGGTAGTTCCATTTTCAGGTTTTTTGAGAAGCATCTATATTGTTTTCCAAAAGGCTGTACTGATTTATAATAGCAGTAAGTGTGCAAGACTCCTTTTCCATATTCTTTTGTAGTCTTTTGATAGTAGCCATTCTCACAATTGTGAAGAAATACCTCATGTGGTTCTAGTTGCATTTTCTGAGAAGTGACACTGCAGTTTTTTCATATACCTGTTGGTCAGTTGTATGTCATCTTTCGTAAAGTGTCTAGTTTCCTTGCCCATTTTCATATAACTCCCTTATCTGATGAATGATTTGTTAATAGTTTCTCCTAATCTAAGCTGTCTCTTCATTATGTTGTTTCTTCTGTGCAGAAGCGTTTTTTAATTGATGAGGTCTCTTTGTTACTTACACTTTTGATGTCATCTTCAAGAAATTATCTACCAAGTAAGGTTATGTGGTTTTCTCCTTACATTCTAATAGTTTTATAGTTTCAGGTCTCACATGGAAATCTCTAATCCACTTTTAGTTGATTGTGACATAAAGGCTGAAGCAATGGCTGTTTCATTTTTTTGCATATTACTAGCTAATTTTACCAACACCACTAATTGAAGGTACTAGCTTTTGCTCATGTATGTTTGCTCTTGGCATCTTTGTTGAATTGACTACAGATGTATGGTTCATTTCTAGGCATTCAGTGTGCCTAAATTCAGTAAACTAAATTTGTGATTATTATGCTGTTTTGATTACTATTTTGTGAATATTTAGAATCTGACAGGCTCTGTCTTTTTGGGGGAGGAGGAATTTGGGGTTTCTGATGATTCTATACAAATGTTAGGATTGTTTATGAAGAATGACAGGAATTTGAGGGAATGCACCAACACTGTAGATCATTTTGCAAAGCCTGGACATCTTAACAATGTTAGTTTCTCTAGTCCATAAATGTGGGATATCTTGGGCCCAGCACGATAGCCTAACGGCTAAATCCTCTCCTTGCATCCACCTGGATCCCATATGGGCAGTTCATGTCCTGGCTGCTCCACTTCCCATCCAGGCCCCTCCTTGTGGCCTGGGGAGGCAGTAGAAGATGGCCTCAAACCTTGGAAACTTCACCTGCAAGGAGACCCGGAGGAAGCTCCTGGCTTTGGATTGTCTCAGCCCTGACTGTTGCGACCACTTGGATTGTGAACCAAGTGTTTCTCCTTCTCTGTAAATCTGACTTTCCAATAAAAATAATCAATAAACTAAATATGTGATATCCTTCAATCACTTAGATCAGCAATTTAAAAAAGGTTATTTGAAGGCAGCATTACTAAAATAGTTTTTCATTTACTGATTAGTGACCAAAACATCCAGGGCTTAGGCAGGCCTCAGCCAGAAACTCCATCTGCGTTTCCCCTATGTGGTAGAGACCCAAGTACTTGAGTCATCTGCCCTCCCAGGTGTGTTGACAGGAAGTGGATCAGAAGCACACTGTGGCCGATAATCCATAAGGGATGTGGACATTTCCAAGTGGCAGCTTAACCATGGAACAGCAACAGTTCTTCATATTTGGCTTCTTTCTCTCTCTTTTTTTTTTTTTTTGGATCAATGTTTTATAACTTTTAGTCATTCACCTCCTTGGTAAAGTTTACTCCTTAAGAGGATTTTTTTAATGCTCTTGGAAATGACATTCTTTGATTACTTTTTCAGATGATTTTTGGGTAGTGCATAGAAATGTTGCTAATTATGTTGATCTTATAATTGGCAAGTTAGCTGAAATTTATCTATATAAAATCATGTCAACAAATGGAGACAGTTTCACTTTCCTTATTTAGATGATTTAATTTGCCTGAGATAGGGTTGAGCTAGGTATGACCAAGGAACCTGCCACACTCATGGGTACAGGAACTGAAAATAGTCTGGGGATACCCAGGCTGCAGCACTCAAATATGCATCACATCCTAAAACAGGGTGTTGGGCGGGCCAGGCTGCAACATTCATCAGTTCATACAAGGCCAGGATGGAGAAAGTAGGCTTTGATGGGCAAGGGCTTGGCACCTGATGGCAAGCATGAGATCTGGATCTGGGAGTGGTCTGAGTGGGGGTATGTGGGAAACTCCCCTAGTGGGTCATAGCTCCCACTGGTGAGCACGTAGTCCAGGCCTGGGGGTCAGGTAGGCTTGGCAAAGTAGTTTCAACTGTTGGTAAATGTGTGGGTTGGTTTTGGAATGTGGCAGACCGGGCAGGACCAAGCAAACCTTAGCTTACCAGCAAGTGCAGAAACCATACTAAAGCACAGGACGTGCTGGGCTAGGCTGTCACACCTGCTGGCTTGTATGAGCCAGGGATGGGAGCAAACTGATCACAGCCAGGTTCCAGCATCCACCAGTGAGAGTTAGGACTGGGGGCAGGCTGGGTCAGGCCAGGGTGCGACATCCAAAGGCAAAGCCCCAGATAGGTAAGGAGCTATGCCAAACTGGATCAGAACAACCACCTACACATGCAAGATCTATGGCTGGCAACAGGCCTGGTTGGGGAGCAAGGAGATGCACTGACTGGGTTGTGGTTCCCATGGGAGAGTACAAAGGCCAGAGTGAGTGCTGCTCTCTGGTCTGGACATGGTTGTAATGTTCCTCAGGACAAGTGTGGAGCTGGGTCTGT